AAGAGCATTCGCGAGCAACGATCAAAGGGCGTGGAACATCCAATAAAACTGATCACGCGACGAAAATGCGGACAGATTATATTAACGCTGTGTTCGATGATAACGCAGGTCGATTCTGTGGGAGCGGCAAGATCCACGAACCCATCGTCTCCACCGGAAGTAGGATGCTGGTAACGTACGTGACGTCTAGTCGTCAGAGCGGTCACCGTGGTTTCACCGCGAGCTACGAGGCCGTTTGCGGCGGCGAGGTGGAGCTCGACGGCACCGGTCATTTGGAGTCGCCAAATTACCCGGAAGAGTACCAATCGAGCAAGGAGTGCATCTGGAAGTTGTCCGTCCCGGAGAACTTCCAAGTGGCCCTAAAGTTTCAATCCTTCGAGATCGAGAACCACGACAATTGTGTGTACGATTACGTCGAGGTCCGCGACGGTCATAACCGCGACTCCCCATTGATCGGGGTTTACTGCGGCTACAAAATACCGCCGGACATTAAGTCCACGGGGAACAAACTATTGGTGAAGTTCGTTAGCGACATATCCGTGCAGAAGGCGGGATTTTCAGCCACGTTCATGAAAGGTGCGGATTCCGTTTCGCGTATATTACCTTAACCGGGGACCCTTAACACGTTGAATGCCAAGCCGATTTCACAGAAATTGTCCGTGGCGCCACGATGAATTTTCTTTTATGTGATACATATAATGTTGAAATATTATCTGCAATAGATAAGTTACAGTGTATAACCATGTTTGACGTGTTAATTGCGACAGGGGTCACTGTTTGAATTGACGATGGTGATAATACAAAATTTTGGATATTGACATTTGTTTTCAATTATATATACAGGGTTCCCCGGAAAGAATCATCCGATTTCAAAAATTTATATTTTAAAAAATTACACGCAGGAAATTATAATTCAAACACGAATATAACGGGAAAATGCGTGAGTTTTTGTTTACAAGTGTTCAATATGACTTCCTTTCGTTACACGTATGATATCATTGCGATATGAAAGTTCTTGCCAAACACGGTGTAATGTATCTCTGGTAATTGTTTGTACAGCATCACAAGTGCGTTTTTTCCGATCATTTACACTTGTAGGTAAAGGTGGTACAAAGACAAGATCCTTCACAAATCCCCAAAGGAAGAAGTCGCATGGGGTTAGGTCGGGTGATCTCGGAGGCTAACATGAGAAAGAAATAATAAAAAGTAAAACTCGCACATTTTCCCGTTATATTCGTGTTTGAATTATAATTTTCTGTGTGTAATTTTTTAAAATATAAATTTTTGAAATCGGATGATTCTTTCCGGGGAACCCTGTATTTTTTTATTTTTTTATTTTTTTGTATCAATTTGGGTGCGCCGGTCACCGGTGACCCCCATGGCGTCACCGCCAAGTTAAGTGCCGGTCACCGGTGACCCCCGTGGCATTCAACGTGTTAAATAAACTGTTACAATGGGGAATCCCGAAAATCATTCCGGCAATGATTTTATAACACGAAACGTTGTCGAAACTCTTCGTCGCTTTCCGTACATATTCTTTGACGTTTCTAGATACACATATTCTTTTTCGTCACATTTTATGGATGTTTAAGATAGAGGCACCTATTGTGAAACATCGCTCAATTGCGACCCGTTTTTTAAACAATAGCAGACTTAGCAGACTTGAAGCAGGCTTGAATTAATACAAATAATAACGCAAGTAATACAATACAAAATAAATAGAGCATATGGAAGTGCATGTAACAATTCTTTCCATTTCTTTGTAAACATTGTTCTCTATAAACTCACTTATACAAATACTGTTATTTAACAATCAAATGTAAAGAAATATTTAGTCAAATATAGGTGTTTCTATGCAAGGATATACTTTTTCATATTATGTACTTCGATTTTTTCATTGTTTCTATTATGAAACACATTCGTATTAGATTTTATTCATATGAACATTTTATTCTGGAAACATCAATCTATCGAATAGTAGTATAAATATTCGACAATAATAATTGTCGGTTGCAATAAAATTGATAATAATCTTATACATCCTGAAAAGTGTACCATAATAGTTACTTGTACTTTACTGAAATAATTAATCTTGTTCTCCTTTAATGTACGAAAAATATTAAAACTGAAATTTTTGATAATAGAATTATACGTTGTATGAACCTAAATTCAGTTTTAAAAACTGCGACAAAAATGATAATACGCGGCTCTGAAAACAAAGGAGTGATGTTTTTCGTAAAATTTTTATTTCGATACATTTTCAGAGCCGTGTATTAGTATCTTTTTCGTATTTTTTTTTAAGTAGGATTTAAATTCATACGACGCGTAGTTCTATTATGAAAAACTCCTTTTTATTTTTGTCATTTTTTTATTCTATGTCAAAGGATATGTATGGAAAGTAATGAAAAGTTTCGTTAATGTTTTACGTTATAAAAAAATTGCCGAAAATAAGCCCTATTTGAACAGATTACTTGAAGTCCCCCCTTTGACTCCTTAAGCGATCCCCAAAATTCAGAAATCTGGTCGAAAAATTATCTTGTTTCTTTCTTTTTATTAAACGGTCTTTTAAGTAACGTGATAAGCAAGTGATCCACGAAATTCAACAATCTCGTCTAAAAATTTCCGATCGTTTTTCTGTTACTAAATGGATTGTAAATAACCTAGTCCTTTTATTTATTAAAAAACAAAGAAATATTTACTTAAGGAGTTAACATCTTTAATTAATTTACTCTCATTTATAAATTAAAATCAGACACCCGGTATATTTCTGACGTGTCGGTCTTCTTTTATTTTTCGAATCGCACGAAAGAGGTCACGAAAGCGTAAAAAAGCTACAATTTATTTCCAATTAATCAAACGGAGAATTGAGACAATAATGCATTTCATAAATATTACAGAATTCGACGAGTGTGTTCTAATTGAGCACGGCTGCGAGCACGATTGCATCAACACTTTAGGTGGATTCGAGTGCTCTTGTAAACCCGGTTACGAATTACACTCCGACGGAAAACACTGCGAAGGTAAGGTATTATGCAATCCGATATTTTTATCGTGTGTTTTCACATTTCATTTAATTAATTGCAGATGCTTGCGGCGGTGTTTTCGAAGACAGTAACGGAACCATCACGAGTCCTTCATTTCCGGTGACCTATCCGGGAAACAAGGATTGCGTTTGGGAAATCATAGCTCCGCCGCAATATCGTATAACGTTGAACTTCACGCATTTTGACCTGGAAGGTAACAAAGCTCGACAGCAAGATTGCGAATACGACACTGTCGAAGTCAGCAGCAAGCTCGGCGACGATATCTTGAGGAAACACGGGGTTTTCTGCGGTTCGAGGCCGCCGCCGTTAATTACATCCGAGGGCAACTTTATGAGAGTAGCCTTCACATCCGATAACAGGTATTCGTTCATTTTTCTGTTTAACAAACTAGAATCGTTTGTAATTTTATTTATCAATTTGTTTCAATAAATTTTTTCAGCTAACTCCTTCTAGACACCTTAATTTCTTATAGACGCCAACGTAACGCGTGACAATTTTAATTAGTTGCTAGAAACTAGACAGTTAAATAATAATATTTATATTCTTGGTCTAAATGGATCCGAGCCCATCGTCCGAGTGCTAAAATATGAAGATCTTCATAGCCATAATTAAATGGTTACGATTATTCATGTATAGTAGATCCAAATTGTGCAAGAAAACACTAACGTTCGGATAATAGAACAGTTTGATTACAGCATTAGATTACGACTTTATTGAGTTGTATGATAAATAGCGTTGTCCTTCGATTAGTTTAACCTGATCTATTTCTATGCGAAACATTATTTTCATAATAAATTGTCTAGAATATCGTATCAACTTTATTCTATTGATAATTTCTATCGACTCATTAGTATACATGACAGATATTTATTGCAAAAATAGCTGGAACATAAAATTGTCACGACATAAGAAAGATTTAATAATATTGTTACACCGTTTCCAACTCATTAAAATTATTAAAAGAAACAATTTATTTTTATTTAATTTCTGTCTCTTACAATCTGCTTGGAAAATTTTTATTTTGCATTAATTATCGCGGTTTATCCGTTAGTAATAAAGCATTAATATTTGGACACATAATTAAGTCGAATATACAATTAATCGATATAATTTTGCCTGCCGGTTTGTACTCGTCGCACGCGTTTGCATTGTTGCTGCTAAAACACTGTCGGTTTGTTTCCCGCAGTATTCAGAAAACAGGGTTCGCAGCTGTTTTCTTTACGGACATGGACGAGTGCGCAAACAACAACGGTGGCTGTCAACACGAGTGCAGAAACATAATAGGCTCTTATCAATGTTCGTGTCACAACGGTTTCACGCTTCATGAAAATGGACACGATTGCAAGGAGGGCGGTTGCAAATACGAAATTGTCTCGCCGATGGGCACTATTATGTCGCCTAATTACCCGGATAATTATCCAGGCCTGAAGGACTGCGTTTGGCATTTCCTCACCAAACCTGGCCATCGTATTAAATTAGTTAGTATTTTTCAGTCCTACCTTATCCTAATTTATTCATTTAAAAAACACAGTTCATTTGTTTCTTATCATATCGCTTTAATGAAGTATAATGAGATGAAACAGAAATAATCTGTGTACTATGAAATCTGTTCACTCTTGTTCAAAACTATTAAATATTGTTATTCATGATTGCAGTTTAAGTAATAAATTCTATAGCTGCGATCATGAGTAACAATAATTAATAATTTCGAACAACAGTGGACAAACTTCACTGTGTACAGAACAATGTAAACATTGTTATTTATGATTACAGTTTAAGTAAGATACTAACTCCAAAGTTACAATCATGAATAACAACATTATAAATATTGTAAATAGAATACTATAAATAAGATACTTTAAGAGTGTTTTATTTTGGTAATAAGTTAATATCAAACATTTGCTAGAATATACTTTCACCGAAAATTACACAACTAAATTATTAATTAAATTATTGTTTAACGAAAAGAGAAATTAAAGGCATTTAGAATTGAATCCGGCTGTACATAATCTATTCTCGAGGCACGTCGAATGGAACATAGGGAATAACGATAAATAAATCCAATGCTCCACAGATCTTCAAAGTCTTCGAGATGGAATCCCATCAGGAGTGTGCTTACGATCATATCGCCATTTACGACGGAGATTCTCCGGACAGTCATATTCTCGGGAAATTCTGCGGTACAAAGGAACCTCATCCAATTCTAGCTACGGGAAATCAAATGTATATGGTTTTCAAGAGCGATGTTTCCGTCCAGAGGAAAGGTTTCCTTGCAACTCATAGCACTGGTAAGGAAGCGACGATGATAAGCTGATCCAAATATCAGCACCTGTCAGGTCAATTTAATTATCATAGTGCTACAGAAAATATTGCAGAATACAACAATTATTGCCGTTTTCTTTTGTTTTAAAAAATTATATATACCTACAAACGATAAAGAAATATTTGAGAAATGTTTTCCTCTATAAAATTACATTTCATTGAATATTTGTCATTAAAAAATCAAAAGAATGAATAGCTTTTTGAAAAAAGTACTTAGGATACCAAAATGTTTGTGATTACAAAGAATCCTTTAAAGTGGACTAATAGAACATAATATAAAATAGTGAAAGAAATTCTACACCAACTATGAGATAATTATATTGAACATGACAATATAAAATAGTAATAGAATTCTGCATGATGATGCTTTTCACGAGATTGTTTCAAGTACAGCATACGCTATATTAAATTCTTCTTTAAATTATTGGAAAATAATGTATTTCCTGTATATTCAAATATAATGATTATACATGAAACTTATACATTGCATATAATATATTCAAATTGATAATGTATAATATATTCAAATTAATAATGTATATATTCAAATTATTAACGTAAATTAATAAGTACCAATAATAGAATATTGGAAACATGATCTTAATTCATGATATAATTCTTATATTTCTTACAACGTAACAAATCAATGTAAAATATTTTCCGGATCATTGTAATAAAGCAGTAAATCTTCCACAAAACAACGTTTTAAGAACGATAAAATAAAGTTTTAAGTTCGTAACAATTATTCTTTAAGATCAGTGTTCACAAAATTATCAAAATACAGTAATTTCTCCAAATATCGACAAATTTGGAAGAAGAGATACGATTATACAAGCCTTGTGGCACGTTTTCATAGTTACCGATTCTAAACAACTATAAAAACGAGCCGCAAGGCTCGAACAATCGTATCTCCTCTTCCTAAATTGTCCATATTTGTGCGCAATCTGAGTGCGAATTAGGGAGAAATTACTGTATCACGTTAAATAACGTATCTCGACTCGATTATGGAAACAACTCGTGATTTAGCACTGTAACATATTTCAATCTCGCTCTCCAAGCACGAACCTTCTCGTGCCTCGGTCTTGTGCAATATAAAATCGCGTTCGACCATCGAAATCGCATGTAGCCTATCGAGCAAGCCGAGCTCTATTCCGTGGGCTCTCATTTCCAGTCGTCAATCACTTAGAATGTCGCGAAATCGAATAATCTAACGAACCTGACAACCATTTCGCTAACGTAATTGTGTCGCACAGCCTGCGGTGGTCACCTGGTCGCAACAGATGAAGTCAAGTATTTGTACTCGCATGCGAAGTACAGCTATAATAATTACGACCACAGAACGGACTGCGATTGGGCGATAGAGGCACCGCCTGGAAAAAACGTGCATTTGACTTTCCTCAAGTTCAATCTTGAATACGAGACCGAATGCAACTACGATTTCGTCGAAGTTTATTCCGGACTGGACACTTCCGGTCCCATGTATGGACGATACTGTGGTACCAGCGTAAGTGTACTTTCTGCTATTAAGTTAACAAATTTAGCTACACTTTCGAGATCACAAGCGCAATGCAATAAAAGAATGTACACTTACCGACAAAAGTTGCGAAACTTTACGTATAGATAACATTTGAGTAAAAGATTTGATATTTCAATGAATATACACTCATACAGGAAAGTATTAGAACGCTTACGCGTTTCTAATATTCAATTAATAAAATATATGTGTTAAACTGAAGCATTTGATATAATATGACAAATATAACAAGGGATGGGTCTTAAGACTGCGTAAGCAAAATTAGAAAATAATTCAACAATATATAGCGTTTTTACAGTACATTTATTGTAAACACGTACCAGAAATGGCTCACAAAAGTATTCGAACGAAACAATTAATAGTTATTTAAATTAAACGATTAAAGGTTTTAATAGGAAATTTATCCACCTTTTGCTTTTATAACAACCCNAACTACGATTTCGTCGAAGTTTATTCCGGACTGGACACTTCCGGTCCCATGTATGGACGATACTGTGGTACCAGCGTAAGTGTACTTTCTGCTATTAAGTTAACAAATTTAGCTACACTTTCGAGATCACAAGCGCAATGCAATAAAAGAATGTACACTTACCGACAAAAGTTGCGAAACTTTACGTATAGATAACATTTGAGTAAAAGATTTGATATTTCAATGAATATACACTCATACAGGAAAGTATTAGAACGCTTACGCGTTTCTAATATTCAATTAATAAAATATATGTGTTAAACTGAAGCATTTGATATAATATGACAAATATAACAAGGGATGGGTCTTAAGACTGCGTAAGCAAAATTAGAAAATAATTCAACAATATATAGCGTTTTTACAGTACATTTATTGTAAACACGTACCAGAAATGGCTCACAAAAGTATTCGAACGAAACAATTAATAGTTATTTAAATTAAACGATTAAAGGTTTTAATAGGAAATTTATCCACCTTTTGCTTTTATAACAACCCTAAGTCCGTTTTCCATTGAGTGGACCAACTTAGAAGTAACATTTGCACGTCTTATTAACTTAAAAGTACATATTGCAGTGGACCATAGAACACGTTTAATAAAAAGATACGTAACGAAAGTAAAAAATATGAAAATGAAATAAAAGTTAATAACATAAGAAAATTAAATTTATATTTTCATTGATACAAATTTGTATTCTATGTTTCTAACTTTTGTCGATAAGTGTACATAATTGTATGCAAAAAAGAAACATCAACGTCATTTGAAGATCAAGTTCTCCGATTCATTCCACATGTCTGAATGTATTTCAACGTCAGCTACACACGATGCGATAGAAAAATATGCGCTTATATAGAAATCAACATCGATGACCTTAAAAACTCTGAAAACAGTGACTTAGAAAAGATATCACTTTTGCATAGTTAGCATTCGTCTCTCGATACCAGTCAAATTCAAAAAATGTACAATATGAGAGTAGCCTTTACATCCGATAACAGGTATTCGTTCATTTTTCTGTTTAACAAACTAGAATCGTTTGTAATTTTATTTATCAATTTGTTTCAATAAATTTTTTCAGCTAACTCCTTCTAGACACCTTAATTTCTTATAGACGCCAACGTAACGCGTGACAATTTTAATTAGTTGCTAGAAACTAGACAGTTAAATAATAATATTTATATTCTTGGTCTAAATGGATCCGAGCCCATCGTCCGAGTGCTAAAATATGAAGATCTTCATAGGCATAATCAAATGGTTACGATCATTCATGTATAACAGATCCAAATTGTGCAAGAAAATACTAATGTTCGGATAATAGAACAGTTTGATTACAGCATTAGATTACGTCTTTATTGAGTTGTATGATAAATAGCGTTGTCCTTAGATTAGTTTAACCTGATCTATTCCTATGCGAAACATTATTTTCATAATAAATCGTCTAGAATATCGGATCAACTTTATTCTATCGATAATTCCTATCGACTCATTAGTAGACATGGCAGATATTTATTGCAAAAATATCACTTTTGCATAGTTAGTATTCGTCCCTCGATACCAGTCAAATGCAAAAAATGTACAATATTTCTTGTAGCATCGCTATTGTTAGGAGACGTTTGGGTGGTCTGTTTTAAGCGAAAAACATTCTATTCTTATGTGGACAATAACGAATTTCAGAACACCACGGACTTCATCTCGATGAACGAGGCCCTGCTGGTGAGATTCCGAACGGACGACACGATAGCGAACAAAGGGTTCGTGGCGGTGTTCGTCGCAGTGGACTGGCAGGTCAGCGGCGAGAACTACGGAGGCTCGGGCAACGAAGACACCGACGTGGAGAACCTCTGATCCGTGGCCGGCCTCGCCAATCGACTAAGTTACGGCTGGTACATCGGCTCGATCTTGCAAAGCAACGATCACAGCGAGAACGAATAATAGGATCGTTGTCGAAGCGAGCGTCCAACGTATCCTGGATGCAAATCTCGCTGGATGGTCGAGGCCGCCAAGCTTATTCCACCCGGCAGTACGTCCACGCAAAGCAAATCACGCGGCCCGAATATGATCATCCGCGTTCAGCGTCGATCCGTGTTGGCCAGGAGAAGCGTGGCTGGATAGATATCCAGTCTCACAAGGATAATTTATACCGAGGCGTTAGGTAACGGCTATCCGTTTCTGGGTCGGTACGCGTATGTACGAGTTCGAAATTCGGTCTATCGACGGGCCAATCGTGCCATTATATGTTTAGGTAGAATCGCGTTACACTGTTAACTCTTTTAAGTTCGAAATCCCAGTAAAACAGCGCGTTCTCTTCCGGAGAGAGAAACGGAGAACAGGAGGAAGCATCGTCGCGACATTGCCAAAGTGATTACCTGCGTCCATCGTTACGAGGGTTCGATAATGCGACCGATGCCAACGAGGAGGCGAGGTCCACACGAAAAGACAGTTGAATCTCTTCGACGTTGTTCTCGCAAACACTGCCCTGCAAACGTACCAAACGATTCGACAAAGCTTAAAGATCACTTTATTCCCGGTCTCTCTCTCTCTCTCTCTCTCTCTCTCTCTCTCTCTTTCTATCTCTCTCAATACCTCTCACTCTCTCTCTCTCTCTCTCTCTCTCTCTTTCTCTCTCTCTCAATCCCTCTCACTCTCTCTCTCTCTCTCTCTCTCTCTCTTTCTCTCTCTCTCAATCCCTCTCACTCTCTCTCTCTCTCTCTCTCTCTCTCTTTCTCTCTCTCTCAATCCCTCTCACTCTCTCTCTCTCTCTCTCTCTCTCTCTTTCTCTCTCTCTCAATCCCTCTCACTCTCTCTCTCTCTCTCTCTCTCTCTCTTTCTCTCTCTCTCAATCCCTCTCACTCTCTCTCTCTCTCTCTCTCTCTCTCTTTCTCTCTCTCTCAATCCCTCTCACTCTCTCTCTCTCTCTCTCTCTCTCTCTTTCTCTCTCTCTCAATCCCTCTCACTCTCTCTCTCTCTCTCTCTCTCTCTCTTTCTCTCTCTCTCAATCCCTCTCACTCTCTCTCTCTCTCTCTCTCTCTCTCTTTCTCTCTCTCTCAATCCCTCTCACTCTCTCTCTCTCTCTCTCTCTCTCTCTTTCTCTCTCTCTCAATCCCTCTCACTCTCTCTCTCTCTCTCTCTCTCTCTCTTTCTCTCTCTCTCAATCCCTCTCACTCTCTCTCTCTCTCTCTCTCTCTCTCTTTCTCTCTCTCTCAATCCCTCTCACTCTCTCTCTCTCTCTCTCTCTCTCTCTTTCTATCTCTCTCAATACCTCTCACTCTCTCTCTCTCTCTCTCTCTCTCTCTTTCTATCTATCTCTCTCAATACCTCTCACTCTCTCTCTCTCTCCCTCTCTCTCTTAATCCTCAAATCCCTGTCTCCTCTTTGACGAAAGTGCTTCGCCATTCGTTGTACTTTTTAAGAGTCTCACCTTGAACGTACGCTGATAAATGGTTCTAAACTGTAACGGTAAAACAATAAGAGCAGGACGAGGGTGTTTGGGCCGGGACGATTAGCGTTCCCCGCTAAACAGACCTCGCTCGGACACGTTCCAAACAAGAACTTGTGCAAATATTTGGGTAATCTAGATATAAAATTAGGGATAGCGCTGATCGATCCTACAGTCGGCGATAGAAATTTTAAGGCGAGCCTCGATCGAACTGTTCCGCGTTTGTCTCGCGTTGTCGAGGCTCCCGGCGACCGTTTATTGTACATAGATAAAAACTTAGATGTAGACGTCGTGCCGTTTTATATGTAGTCATAGGATCGACGACCGATCAAATATTTCGCTATTCGAGTGTTTTCCGACCGTTCTTGAACATGTACTTCGCCATCCGTTGCACAGTCAACGAGTGTTGTTCCACTTTATTCGATCGACACGAATCGTTAGCGAGGAGAATTTTAAGAGAAACCTCGAGATACGATTGGAACGTGAAACGTCTGAATCGATGGAGTTTTTCGAGAATGCGTAATACTTATCGGTTGCTTGAATTCAGGAAACGATTTATTAACTAATACTCTGAAAAGCGTTTGGATTCTTGTCGTCGTGCGTGTTTGATTTGAAGAAAGTGTGGAGATCGAATTTTTCTGGTCGTATCTGTGTTTCCGGAGTAATCTCTTCTGTTTTTGTTCGATGTACCTCTCGACTTTTCAAGTTCGTTCGAAATGTTCTTTTAACGTAGCATTTATTGTATCATAATTGTGTATAATATGTGTTAAACGAATTAAGAGAGTATTATAAAAGGATAAAATAAGGAGTTTAGAGATAGAAGTATGGATACAAGGCAAGAGGAACTTACTTACTAGTAGCTGTAACGTCGATAATAATGTTCAATTTCAACAGTATTCGTGTGGATCGATTAAAATGGGAGTACCGCGTGTGGAACAAGAACAAAAAAAAGTATCCAGTCAGGAAAATAAGCAGATAATAGTGATAAGTTTGATTGCTAACAATTAACGAAGAAAACATCGGCATATTATACTCCGAAATACATAAAGTCAGCCGAGGTAACTAAAGGTCACAGTAATTTCAGGTAAACTTTGTCCATTTACTGAAACTATGATTTATGCGTTGGAAGTTTTTTAACAACTCGCAACTAAACACTAAAGAAATATATTTATAAAGTAAGGTTGCATTTTCAGCGAAAACCTATATTTGTTGGAAACAAAGTCAAATTTATTGTCGATTCCAAATTTATCGTTGCGACGAATGATTCCGAATACACGATATATCATTATTACGAATTCGCCAAGGAACTCGTGTTTTAAACAAGGACAAAAAGGAAATGTTATTCTTTGTATATTGTATTTGAAAATCCGCGCGTTCGCGTGTAAACAGCATATCATGTAAGAAACACCAAAAGATATCATCGGCGGAAAGACGAATTATTCGAGCGAATACCTAGTTTTGAAATTTCATGGTTTTTCATATTCTTTCTACATGATGCACTGCCTTGTGAACATTTTTAATAATGCCGCGACAAAATTGTTCGTCAAAATGGTGTGTCCTTCGTTTTTGTTTCGCGTCGCATTGCATGCGTTGTATTGCAAGACGAATACGGCCTATATTAATCAAAAGGACATGTTTCTATTCGAACACGAGTGTAAACACAGTGATTTCGATTTGTTTGCAAGTATGCATGTATGTGTCTTTAAGTATGTACACGCATATAGTGTTGGTCCTTTAAAAGAAAAGTTCATACGCCTAACACACACGTATAATATCTTATCTATTAACGGATGATAAGAACAATATTAGGCGTCGCGTCAAGTTCCTTTTTGTAAATTATATGTGATTTATTTGTTCTCAGAAATACACGTTATAGGCACTCTACATATTACTATATGTATAAAACAACTATATACTTTTCCATTATATGCTATTCCTCTATCAAACAATGATTCCATATCCACAAATTTTCCTCTATTTTAAGAGGCAAGCCAGGTTACCAACTAGTAATATCGATATTTTTTACGCTTTTCAATAACAGCACATACAGCGATTATATCCTGAAATACTTTTTTCTCAAAGTTATTATTATTTATTAAATTATTATTATAACATAAATTAATCAATGACTAAATGTCGTCTCGATAAACCTATAATAAAAGTATAAATTAAATAATCCTTTTTATATACACAAGTTCTCATTCAAAATTACTTCAACATGTCAAATTTGTACTTCTCTCAAGCTTTCTAAGTTTATCGGCAATGCAACGATATAAAAATTAAAAATTTCATTAGTTTTTTGTATCTAATAAATATTAAAGACTGCAGGTGTCGTCGTTAATCTGCATAACCAAAAATAGTTAAAAATCTAAACAATGTCAATTCAAACAATATGAAGATCAGTCATCTATAATATACAGTAACGAACCTAATTAAGCTTTAATATCAACAAACATTGAGATTGAACCAGGTAGGTGTCGTAATTATTATAAACAAAAATTGAAAGTAGATAAACAATTTCAACAATCAGCAGTTAAAACATAATGCATAAACTGTATTGTCGAGCACGATTTTTAGATATTTGTTTATTAACATCTTCCTATAACAGATTATTTGATTGTTACTTGCAACTATGTATATCTTATTTACAAGCTTTAAATTGTTACAAGATTGTTGCAAGCATTGCAACGGCACTCTTTAAGAACTACTTAATATTGATGGCTCTATATTCGGTCAACGAGATCACTACAAATGCAAGGACAAAGAAGTGCGTGGTCGATCTGTTACATCACTGGCTACAGCTGTTGCGATATTATGTTAATATCTATGATCAACTTTCATGATCGTACTTGAAACTGATATGTCTGTAGACTTATAGACTGAGATTATTGGACACGATCAACTGCATCGAGAATAAACCTTGTTTTCATATCGTTTAAAATACAGAGCGTAGAATTTACAAAAAACCGATTATAATAGAGTCGAACGACGCATCTCAGAAACTACATAGCTTTTACATAATTTCAACATAGATGTCCTTTTCTGAATTAGAACTAAATCGATATTCGCATTATTTGAGCTAGATGTTTGTCAGGAGAAATATATTCCTTTTATTCTCCATCATTTTCTTTATTTGTTGTCAGTTTTTATTTATTTGAGAGCAGATAATATACCCAAAAAATTTCTTTGTGCATTTGTTACGACACATATTTTATTCGTTGAAATATTTCACAATTTTGTCATTAATAAAATTGTGGAAAGAAGAAATGACACATTAATGTAATATGAAAATGACTCGTGGAAAAAGTACAGTCATTCATTCCTTGTCTACCAGTAACAGAAAATGGAAAATTAGAAACTGTTCTAAAATTACACTAAACAAGTAACAGAGTTACTACAAATCTAGTCAAAATCAGTATAAACAATATCTTGTTTGAAAACAGTAAGTTCATAATCAAATTACAGTTATTTTTAAGTAAATTCACAGTATGGAAGACTAATCACATAGACGCTGGCTACCTCATCGCTAATTTCGTAAGGTGACGCTATACTGCATTCGCAAATGCGTTAGGTCATATTCTATTAAGTACATTAATGCAATTTAATTAAAACTTTCTTATTACTGGACTCTATTCGGTAATATATTATATATATTCAATATAAAATATTGAATATATAATTTTAATATATGCATTTAATACAAATATTCCGTAATATATTAGATATTATTTAATATAAAGTATTCGGTAATGTATAATATATTATAACATATGATATGCAATATATAATATATTATTGAATACTTTATATTAACAACGTTCTCTTATCCAAAGTCTGTTGAATTATTTTGCTCGCCGATCGCTGCATAGTTGAGTTATTTCGCGCGTAGATTGCTGCATACTTGAGTTATTTCGAGCTGCAGTATGCACTTTGTGTCCAGAATTGCACGACTTCCCATGGGAGGACGATCTTCAAGATCTACCGCTTTCCTTACCGGAGATCCGACCGTCTGTGACCAATTTTAGAAAAAGTGAGCGGCCAACTGGCACATGCGCTCTCTCATCGACAGCTCTCATCCTTCCTTGGTTCTTATTCTCGAGAAAAACGCTTCGATAATCCGCTCGTGCGTAAAAACAGAATGCTGTACAATTCCAACAATTCAATCGGTCTGGGACATCAGCAATATTGGATTATCAAATGTGCCAGATCATTTGAACATATGGAGCAATGCAGCAAGAACTACACTTGCAGTTCACTGCAAGAAGAAATACAGTTTTAAGAACTCCTATGGTTGAAACAGTAGGATACATTCATTATTCAAAACACTACTGACTGTCACTAATTTTCCATTATACTTGAAAATTAATTTTGATTGCAATGTATTAAGTACGCCAAAATTTATTAAGATTTACGATTTACGATACGATTACAAAAGCAATTCCTATATAGTAAATATTGTCTTTTCTACTTTTATATTATATTATGTAGACTGCGAATCTCTATGAAGAATAAAAATTATCTGCGTTAGTTGTAAGAAGCAATAGCCAGTTAAAATTGTCTTTGTTCCTCTAGCAATCTTAATAAGTCAAGAATAATACATCGACATTTTCTCAGATTCTTTTAATCTTCTTCATGTTTTATATTTTTTCTACTCATTTTTGTCAGAAAAATCCGAGATCTAGTTAATAAACGAATTATTTTGGTTTCGTTTTTTATGACTACTGGTATGGTACTAAACATGTCGTCTCGCATTGCTGTCAATTACCTGTTTATAAAGAAAGATGTAAAATAGAATATAATCCATATGGAAAAATAGGTGAATTATTTAAATTATGAAAGTCCAATATAAACAATAAATTATATTCAAACAAACCATACTAAAATTGTAGAATAAATGAAATTCTTCGTAATTTTAATGAAATATTTATTTTTTCTAATATTTATTTAAAATAAACGACTTTCTTGAAGAAAATTATGCATTGCCAATAATACAGAAATTCGGAGAAAATTTAAACACACTCGCGAATATGATTATTCGTAACGATCAAAGAAATTGAACCTTGATAAATCAAAGCATGCCATGTAAAGATAGAATTACTGTTTCTTTCCTGAACCTAAGTTTTCCTATGTGTATAGCTTTCGTGAAAATATTACAATATTGCCAACCCTGGCAAAACATGTTTCGTACATCTTTTGTAACAAAAAAAGTACGAAGAAAACGCAGCGATAAATTATCGAATAGAAAGTACAGCCATACTTAAATGGTATTTGAAATCGTAATTTCAATAATTGACTTCAGTATTAAATAATGAATACAATTGTTGCACGTGCGCGTACATTATACGAACGGAGAGCAATGTCTATTCTTAGCTGATGCACAAGTTCAACGTCCATAAGAAAGTGCAGTAGTTTTGCAACTAAGAATACATGCAGTGTCACTTTTTGTCTCGTCATGCAAGGAAGAGTATAATCTTGTAAGTGCACAGTAAGATCTCGATTGCCTTGAAATTGTTTAACGCGGAATACTGGGTTAATTATATATTAATTAACGCATAATTAAATTGTATAACATAACATTGTAATTATATTTAAAAATCCTACACTTTATTGTGACATGGTTGAATTATTATACATCGCGTAATTATATTCTGATAATTCGGAATTGAATCAATCGACACACCCTGTATTCCAGAACATGCGACGCTGGTCATAGCTGTACCCTGTGAACACTACTTTAAAATGTGTAATATAGGATATTTCGTTATCAACTAATAATTTACATAATTTTATATATTACTGTAACATATAATTTTTCAAGGAATTATATCCCTGTATTAATCGTAGCAGTTTTAAAATTATTTTCCTTACTGTTACTGCATTAGGGATGCAGTTCAATAACCCGCTATGATTGATATAATCTGACACTGCCGAAATTTCAAGCAAGCGGGATTATCGAAATTCTAGTTTAATTACACAATATAGTAATATAGCAGCGGAATCGAGTGAAATATTCTTATCAATGTTGAGATATGACAAAAAAAGTACTTTTCGGTAGTAATAATTACTTTAGAAACCAAATAAGTATGTGCGAGACCTACATTATTCGGGAAAAAATCAAGTAAGGACTATTTTATATAATCATGAGACTTTCTCTCAAGAGTCTTGAACATCTTTGTTCACCACATACACCATGAAACTCTGACGACAGTCATTTCAAGGTGCACTGCAATCAGAAACTCGATTCGCATGTCTAAAGAACATAATAAACATTTACATTTGTATATCAATTCAACAAGACTTTTGTTTGAAATATTAATGCTGAATTAAAATTAACATAAATATATGAACTCAAAAGAATTAAAATAATTAAAAGATGAAAGATAATATTTTGAAACGAATATATACCAATTAACGTTTCGTCTACTGTGGAATAAGTACGTAACGTAGTTCAAAGACCTGCCTCATTAATTACAGGCACAATTTGTTAATGAGGTCGTATTCACGCATTATGCGAATGTGCGAAGGATACGCTTCACGTACATTTCAACGTTTTGCCATACCAGGCTTAACCTACTTAGTGGGAAATTATTCCTTTCTTCCGCCAATAACAATTTCCACAGAATTCGCGACTATATTTTCAAATCTGTCCGTTAAGGACGCTGCGAATCAATACAATTCCATTTATGTATCTCAGTTTCGTTGCATTCGCTTTTCATTTGTAATTATGAATCGGTTGCTACAGTCATCGTAATTGTTCCTTAACTGAGAACTTGGCTACGAATTAATCGTCGCCGAGTCAACGAAGTGGCCATTCTATTATTCCATACTAATTTCCTTGTTGAAATTTGTAAAATCAATAAAATAAATGTCGCATGACAGTCGCGAGGTACTATATTTTGCGAGTAGGAAACATGCGTGAAGGCGTTCTGGCGTGTTGCGGTCGAGTATCGACCAATCAGAGTCCAGGGTGAGGTCACTGGCGGCCAATGATCGTGCGCAGAAAGAGTCGATAGTCGGGGGTATAAGATCCCGTTGCTGGTGTCCCTCGCGCATTAATCGTTTGGTGTTCGATCGTGCATTGTGTGTGGTTGATAGCAGTAGCTCCATTACTTGCTTGAACTATCAGCTACCCAATTTTTACGAGGACATAAAACACTTCTTCAGACTTCAAAATGGTAAGAGGATGCTAATCATTACTTCCGTGCGTAAGGAACGACGGTCTCACGAGTCAGACGTGTTAATTGCACATGCCGTTACGTCGAGACGTTACACCGGCCGGCTCCGCCCTTTCCACGCGAGTCACTTCAGGCGCCTTAATTATTCTTTGAATAAATTAGAAGCACTCGCATTGCCATCAGTTCTTTGCCGTTTTACTCGATGAATGGATTTTTCGTGTAAAAATTGTAGAATCATGTGAATGTGAAAATGTCAGATTTTGTTTCGCGTTGACGAGGAGAGGGGGGAAATGCGCGTCGTTTCGCTGACACGATCGATATTTCAAGGAGGCAGACATTTTCTAATAAATATAACTTGAATTTAACAGAAACGAAATATTTTAGAAAGCGTTTTCATTGTATGCAATGGTTAATATCATTTTTGTGATTTATAAGGAATATTTTATTCAGTATAACGAATACATAACTTTAGAATCATTTAAAATATTAAAATTCGTAATTAACTATTTTCTTATTCTATCGATAGCAATACACATAAAAACTTACGTATGATTTCCTTTTTCAGCGTGAATGTATCTCAATCCACGTTGGCCAGGCTGGAGTCCAAATTGGTAATGCCTGCTGGGAGTTATATTGTCTGGAGCATGGCATCCAGCCCGATGGCCAAATGCCATCAGATAAAACTATTGGTGGAGGTGACGACAGTTTCAATACTTTCTTTAGTGAAACTGGTGCTGGAAAACATGTTCCTAGAGCTGTTTTCATCGACTTGGAGCCTACAGTAGTCGGTATGTAAATAAGTTCTTGACTTTCTCATTCAATAAATAGCTCGTTTCATGAATTTATTTTATAACAAAACGTATTTTATTTTCCAGACGAGGTTCGCACAGGCACCTATCGTCAACTCTTCCATCCAGAACAATTAATCACGGGCAAAGAGGATGCTGCAAACAATTATGCTCGTGGGCATTATACGATTGGCAAGGAAATCGTTGATCTTGTCTTAGACCGCATTCGTAAGCTTGCAGACCAATGTACTGGACTCCAAGGTTTCCTCATCTTCCACTCGTTTGGAGGTGGAACTGGCTCTGGCTTTACATCGTTGTTGATGGAACGTCTTTCTGTGGATTATGGAAAGAAGTCGAAGTTGGAGTTTGCAATTTATCCTGCACCACAAGTTTCAACTGCTGTGGTCGAACCCTACAACTCTATTCTTACTACCCATACGACTTTAGAACATTCCGATTGTGCATTTATGGTCGACAATGAAGCTATTTATGATATCTGTCGTCGTAATTTGGATATTGAGAGACCAACGTACACGAACCTGAATCGATTGATTGGTCAAATCGTTTCTTCGATCACGGCCTCCCTTCGCTTCGACGGTGCCCTTAACGTTGATTTGACAGAATTCCAAACTAACTTAGTACCTTATCCACGAATTCACTTCCCTCTAGTAACCTATGCTCCAGTTATTTCCGCGGAAAAAGCTTATCACGAGCAACTCTCTGTTGCGGAAATCACGAATGCTTGTTTCGAACCAGCCAATCAAATGGTCAAATGCGACCCTCGTCATGGAAAGTATATGGCTTGCTGCATGTTGTACAGAGGAGACGTTGTACCAAAGGATGTTAATGCAGCAATCGCAACCATTAAGACTAAACGTACCATTCAATTCGTCGATTGGTGTCCAACTGGTTTCAAAGTTGGCATTAACTATCAACCACCTACTGTTGTACCTGGTGGTGACCTTGCTAAAGTACAACGAGCTGTCTGCATGTTGTCCAATACTACTGCTATTGCAGAGGCTTGGGCCCGACTTGACCATAAATTTGATCTGATGTACGCAAAGAGAGCATTCGTACACTGGTACGTCGGTGAAGGTATGGAAGAGGGTGAATTTGCTGAAGCACGTGAAGATCTTGCTGCCCTTGAGAAGGATTACGAAGAAGTTGGTATGGATTCTGCTGAAGGTGAGGGCGAAGGAGCTGAAGAATACTAAACAAAATCCCCATCATGATTTTTCATTGAGAACTAATATGAAATAAATGTGCGGGTTTACAAGCGCTACTGTTTTATGTATGTCACCTACCCTTTACGTTTCCTAAATCATTTTATTAATTCCATGATTGATTACATAATTTATGGATTATATTCAGTTATATTTTATACATTTAAAAACACTTATGTTATACTTTTGAATAATCTTCAGTCATCTGACTTATTATTATATTAACTTAGGAGAGATATAATACTTTAAAAAAAAGAAATTAACTAAAAGATAATTGTTTTCTTAGTTTCCAATATGAAACTGAATTGTATAAAATAAAAGTGGATTTGTTAATGTTGTTTATTAGATATTTATCTATATTAATATCGTAATATAAAACTACTATTCGATTATTGAATGTCACGAAAGAAAGCTACCTGTTAACTTAAGAACACGGAAATTTATGATTTCTTGTTCAATATCTCTAACAAATAATCCGATACAGTATTTATTTGTTACATGTAGTTATAACAACCGTAAAAGAACAATATAGCCGTTTATCATAATAAATATTTCTATCAAACAACGTAACTTGATAGAACTTTTATTTTTAGCGATTTAAAAGTTCATGAAAGTCCGTAACGTACTGGGGTCTCGCTATTTTTATCGTACAGTTTTCACTCGTGGTTTCTTTGATTATTTTGTGTCACGAGATGACTTCTATTAGCGTTAGATACTTGCATTTTTATTTTACAATACCTATCCCCCCCTGTCCAAATAGTTTAAACGTGTCATTTGGTACGGTTCAACAGTCTCGATTGAAATACATTTAAAAAATGAGCGTAACAGCGTAAGTGCATATGACAAGCACGCGACCCGGAATACTTCGTCTAATAATTTGTCGCAGCCATTCGTGTTCTCTTATTGCAAATGTAAGAATATCCCTTCTAATTCTGTTCTATCTCAGTTTATTGCACGTCAGTTGGTTCTACTTTACTCCAATAACAAGAATAGATATCTTACTGAGAATCCGCCATGAGCCATAGGTTCCTTACATTTGCCGTGAGCACGCATGCGCGTCACGGCAGTGCACGTCGGTGCGTGTCGGTGTGCACAGCGCTGTGTAAGGTGGCATTTCGTTTAGAAAAAAAAAATTGGCGGACTCGTTATTTGAAAAATTGTGCAAATGTTACCGACACGTCATTAGTAGTGTGTCCGAACGGACCCACCATGTGTTCAGGACCACGCCGAGTAATATGAGTGAGTGAGCGCAGCATTACTTAAAGTTTTTCAGTAACGTTTCCCCCGTGAAAGAATGTAAAAAGTATTGCACGGATATCGATACAACATTAAATCGATGCATCGAGATAGAGGTGTCGATGCATAATCAAGATCCAATGAAATATGTTCAAAGCGGATTCGGACAAGTGGCTCCAGACAGGTGTATCGATGTCTCTGGCGTATCGATATATTGTTTGCATACTTACTCGCAAGGCAAGAAGCTACTGCCTTGGATGTATGCAGTGGAGTGCAGCCCCTCCAGCTCGAGTTCTCGTTGCAACGTTCTCCGGTTTCCTCAATCACGTTTTTTTCTCATGTGCTGAATAATGCATTTATAGTGAGACCATTTCAAAGAATGTTAACTTTATTTCATGACTACTTACGATAAGAATGAGTGAGTACCCCGGTGGGAGTCGTGAATGTTTTCGAAACAACTATGTAATTTCTGATGTGCTTATCTCCTTGCTTAAGCCGGAGTTTTATGAGATCTCTTATAATTTTGATAAAAGCATTCACTATGCCGCATTACCTGGACAAAATCCATGTGTACACGGCGTGTACACAACACACGCCCAAATGTTGCATCTACACGTGTGATTCATCAATGTATTCAAGATAATACAGTTCGAAGAAATTTAACATTGTGTTGCATCTAACGCATTCGGAGGAAGTATTTTTTTTAATTAGAAATTGGAGAATGGCGTGATACACAATAGTCAATTTGTTTAATATTGCCCTGTAGCTGGGATACAGTCATTATGCTTGGTAGGTGAACTACGGTAAAAATACTTTAGATAAGATCACAAGGCATTCTTTTTGCACATTAATCTTCAGGTTATGCTCTTATCTCTTTTGTTGTCTACTTGTACATTTAAATAGTGCTGACTACAATTACCTTTGTCTTCTAATGCAAGCAAAACGTACATCTAGAAATATGGTGTAGAATACAACCAGTAAACATTTCGTAATATTACATTTACTATAAAATATAGTCTAATATTTATGAACTAATCCATTATCAGTTGTTATAATCAATTAAAATATTTGCATACTTTTAACGGTTCTTACTTTTGTAATAAACATATTATTGTACATAATATATATAGGTATATATGTCCTTTAAACTTATTAAACTAAACTATTAACTAACTTTTAATCAATGTCATCTCCTTTATGTGTTGATTACTGTTGACAATCTAACAACATGTAGTTTATATATATATTAGATACTCTACTTTCTACTTTTGCTTAAAAGTTTTATTTAATTTATGCGATAATGCTGTTTTAAGTAGTTATTTTGTTTTTTCCAGACCACTGCAAAGCCATGAAGATGAGCTTCTCCTTATCATCGCTTCAGCCGCTCGGTCATAGCTTAGACAAGCATGGCCAAGCGGGGATAGCGATCGAGAGACCATATAACAGCCTCACAAAGAAACGGTTTGTTTCACATCCTATGTTTATATTATATGATATAGTTCTACTTACATTGTTCTAATAAATGTAGTCTAAAAATTAGCTGGAAGCAGATGTTATGTAGTCAATAATTATGTTACATTGTTATTTATGAGTAATCTAATGTAAATAGCAAAAAAACCATGATAAAGTTATTTATTGATTTTGTAGGAAAGACCCAAAGCAGTTTCAAAATCAACGTTCGTGGACAAATCATGAAGATTGCAAAGATGATTTCTGGGCAGCAATACGATCTAATTATGACTATATTATGGACACTAATTTAATAGATAGTTGTAAAGTAAGTGTATTATTTTTTGTACATGTATGATGCAGTTAGATCTAATGCCAATGCTTTGAATGTTTCTTTACTAATTGTGATAGGAAGCCAATGGCGAATTAACATGGGATGAGTCTGATGTATCAGCACAATCGTGGAATTTAAAAGAAGTTAGTAGTCAATTTTCAGAATTATATTCCTGGCTAACAGTTCTCCAAGAATTGGTTTATTCTAAGGAAGAAAATTTATTGGACAAAAGTCTGCGTGCGGTATGTACAACTCAGTTATATTAAGTTATAATTAGATTGTGGATCTTTCATGGATAATTTTATCAAAGCTAAGGTAAGAGAAATATATATTTCATCAGTTATAAAAAAATTCTTTATAATAAAACTAATGTCGAAACAAACTTAATCTTTATTAATATAAACGTTTATCATATTTTACGCACATCTGCAAGTTCATAAAAATCCACAGTCTAATAATAAAAATAAAAATTGTTTATGCCAGTGATAACGAATTCAATAATAATGTAATAATCGCAATGTAATAATAGCAATAAAATGTATACCTCAGGCTCACATGGAGGAGCTGCGACGTAGGGCTTACAGAAGAAAGTTATTTAATGAACAAGCAGGAAAATTAGTGTCACGTGCCCCTGCTTTGAAAGATGAAGTAGCGTGGCGTGTTGACCATTTGAATGCAAAATGGGAATTAGTAGAACAAATTATGGCACCCGTTGAAAGGCCAATATCCAATCAACTGGATATGTCAGCAGGTAAATTAGTCTTTCATTATGAAATATCAAAATTCTGGATAGGGCGTTGCTCACTATTCTTTGACATGCTTTATAGATTTTGAGCACGAAGTGAAGTGTTTGAGGAAATGGCTTCGTGAGATGGAATCTCGACTTCAGCCTTTGAGCTTCCATGTAGATTGGACATTAGCAGAACTGGAGGAAAAAGCAGTGGAGCATATGGTGAGTGCTATATAAAATACATTTTTAAAGAATTTGAAATGTGTATTTTCAAATCAAAGAATACATATAGGATTCGTTATGATATTTTCAAATTGGAATGCTCAGTATACTCATATTTATTTTATGAGAGCAGTATTGTGATATATGATTCAGTGCATTTATTTGGTTCTACAAAATAAATTGAACATGTTGTCTTTGATGAAACAAAAATGAGATAAAAATCCACGACACTATCGAAATGAGTATTGTAGGTAAATTAAGCAATGATGTGTAAATAATGAGATGCATATATTCGTCGGACGAGTCATTAACACAACAACAGATCGATTCATATATGTATGCATTCCGTTTACAAAGCCGGATACACGTCTTTATTGTTAGCGGAAACGGTCGACAGCTGACACTCACGCAAACTGTACAGGATGGACGATAGTAATAGTAAATAATTACGTTTATCGTGCTTGAAATATCTAACTATCTAACTAGCATAGATCTATTCAAGCGGTGAATTTAGCATAACTTTTAGAGAATAAATGTGATACCTTCAATATTCGCAGCGATTTCTTTTTCGCGATACTGTAATTTCCTTGCCCCAACCAACGACTGCAGAATTATTTTATACATTCGTCGAGGCGAGCCGATGCACTGTACATTCAGTTTCAGCTCGATTGTCTTTCTACTCCCTGTTGTGTGACTGGGTGGGCGTCGAGAACTTGACTCGTTCGTGTTGGTTCCGCATCTTTCTGCCGAGTCTCTGTCTTCTTCTTTCTCCCGTTCTCTCCCTCCTTAATTGCATCTCGACACAAAACGTGATATATACCAGACAATCATATGCAGTATAATGTGACCGTATTTTAATAACATTTGTACCTATTTTTTTTTTCAAAATGAATACAATTTTCACAATTGTAACTCATAATTTTGTCAAATTTTACTTCTTACATGTAATTTATTGAATACTATAAAATATTGTAAATTTATAATTCAATGATAAATTTTAATATAGCATTTATTAATAAATAAATATAATATAGTAGTACTGACACTTTTGATAAAAGGACTGAACTTATAAAATTGATTCTAATATCTTGACGGAATATTTATAATTATAATTCATTTTATCTAATAAAATTGGGTAAGAGAGAACGAATCCTCGTTCTATAAATTATTTATGCTTGCTTTAGTTACAATAAGCTTGTAATGTTTAAATTTGTATATGTATATTTCTAAACTTAGTAAGTATTTGTAAACCTGTAATAATTAATTTTATCATTACTTATATGTCATCTTGTGTATTGTTTTAGTAGCCGATAATATTGTTTACGAAAGTAAGTTCAAATGTAATATATGTATATCTCGTTGTGCACGATACCTTTATGGGTTCAGTATTTCAGGAACAGGATTATAGTTGTAGACACCTTGGCAACTAGACACCCAGAGTCATTTTACAGTGAGGTATTCAAACTACATCATCACTGTTTAATTTGTAGAAAGCGATTCATTAATTACACGCTATATTTTGTTAGATAATGTGTTACCTGATGGACCGTTATTAATACGAAATTACGTATCGCCTTCCTCTTATTTAACTATTGCGTACCTGTTTCATTCCTATATCTATTAGAAAGAGGTTGTATTTCATATGACTTTAGTATTTATAATATCGATTTGTCTGCATTATTGAAGATAATAATCGACATTTTAAGAATTTATTTCGGAATATTGTTACTTTCTTTTTTTTTATATGTATATCGAATTACGAATATGCATAAAATTTGCATAAAAGCGATTATTTCATTATAGTCAAGGTTGATTTAGAAAAAATATTTATTAACAGATTCGTTTCTATTGAAGTTTTTAGAAATTAATATTAAGCATGTTTCGTTTTTAGAAAATAAATATAATCTTTTTTCAGAAGTTTCGAAGAGCTTTTGAAGTTAATTCAGCGATCGATAATAATGGGCGGAAGTATTGACCGAATAATTTAATTTTAGACCTCTAAGCTGGCGAGGATAAATTTGTTTACGTCTAGTTCGTTGCTCTCCAACAAGACCATATGGCACACATGTTTGTCTTCAGCAAATTCCACGGTATCTGCTGGAAATTCGGATACTTCTCTACATTTGTATTTCAAACAACGTGTATGCTATAAATTGATGTCGGCTCACGTATGTAAAAAAAAAAGAAATAGTGAAGGTTGAAACGCCTTCTGACTGCGTTACGCAATATTCTTCTCATAGTGTTACAGTGAAAGCTGTAAAAGAACTCGATCCAGAAATCCAGTTAATTTTCTAGATCTAGAGATACACATAGTTTTACTTTATAATTCCTCGAGTATCTCATTAGCAATCGCAATCGTAATCAAAACAGTTGTTTCTGTTTCTACTCAGTAAAAGTTTGCATTACAAGATGCAATTAGTTAATTCCAGGAGGAATATTAAAATGTTGAAACATTTACATACGAACGGAAAAAAAATAATCTTTTGAGATATGAAATTTAACACGCTGATTATGTTGGAGTAATCAGTGAACTATTTGAAACTAGTTGTTGTGAAACTAAAGCCACCAAATATGAATATTTTAATATAGTTATTAATTAAAGTATAGTA